TAACAAGAAGTGCCAAGGACATCACCATCGAGTAGGTTAAGGGGGAAAAAGACAGAAATATTAAGTTTGGGCAAAGCAGCTCAATTATGGGCTTTTCTGCACACCCAAGAGCTAGACAGAAGAAAACCCTGAAACCAAGGGGACACATATTGGTAGAATCTTATGGTCTTCTGATACAGCATGTCTGTTCTTTACCAGGTAATATAAAGGTAAAAGGGGGTTGGTTAGAAGCTGTGATACCATTATAAACAGAAGCTATCACGATGATGGCATAGGGAGGGAACAGCAGGATTTCCTCCTATGGACTGGTGGGCAATATATATGTAGTGTATATCTAGTATTATCTAATAAATAACACCTACGAATTTATCTGATCATACATTTTTCTGTCTAAAAAGTACAGGAAATGACAGTTACATAAAAGGAAAGTTTATAAATCCTTTCTGATGGTATGATTTATGGTTGAAGAATATCATAAAATTCAGCAAGATATCAGTTTTACTGCCCTACAATCGATGATAAGGAAAGCCTGTATTGTCCACCTTGGTACACCTGTACTGACCACAGGCTGGACACGGAATTGTTTGTAAATACAACATAGCTGTCAAACCTCCACCATTATCTCCTTCGAAACTCCCTCATTCAAGTCCATACTCACACAAACTCAAAACCTACATCCTGTGGTCAAATGATCTCCTAGTTACTGCAGGGTGTGTGTAATGATCAGTACAGGTGTGTCTGAATCAAATGAATGCTCATTGGAGTTATTTAGATACATAAAAAGGGAAAGATAAATTGAGCAACAGTTTCAGTCGCATTTCACGCACTTTCTCCCTCATTGGAGGTTTCAGAGGTTGACACCTATGATACAAAGACTCCTATATATGAAGTCGGCAACATGGTGTAGATATGTTTATTGAGGTAATGATGAACTACTCATCCATTTAACAGGGCACAGGTCCCGGAACTGTTGACAGGTAATATTGTGTAGGTAGAAAACATTAGAACACATAGGGTGAAGGGAAGTATAATTAGAGCAAAAGCTTTATGGATAGATGATGGGGGAAAAAAAAAAAAAAAAAATCAGTTTAGAAAATAGAAATTTTACATCAAAAATTATTCCAAAGTTGCAAAGGGAAAATGGGGAATTAATAACAAAACAAGATGATATTTTAAAAGTAAAAACATTTTATGAAAAATTTTACTCAACTGTTGATAACTAAGTTGAAGAAATGAATTTAGATGACTTCCTAGATTTTGATGTGCCAAAATTGAATAAAGTAGAAGCTGAGTTTGGAAGGACTAATAACACTAGAGGAGGCATCTAAAACCCTTAGAAAGATGAAAAATAGCAAAAGCCCGGGTTCAGACAGATTTACTTCAGAATTTTTAAAATGTTTTTGGAATCCGTATGGATAGTATCATGGTATGGAAGTGACAGGGTATGGATTGTAACATGGTATGAAAGTGACAGGGTATGGATAGTAGCAGGGTATGGAAGTGACAGGGTATGGATAGTACAGTACATTTTACTTAATATCACGTCTGTTAATGTCAATTTTCGGTTATTATCATGTTTTTTTGATGCACCGTTTTTCCTGCTATATAATCTATGCAATTCAATTCTTTTATTATCACCTGATTTTATGTCGATTTCTCTTAATATCACTTTATTTTGGCCACTTTCACCAAAAAATACAGGTAAATGGTGGTATTGATTCATGATAAATGCCCTGGGGACCTTCTGTCACACCCTGGATGCATTATGTAAACAATGCCTTGGCCTAACAGGGTATTTTTTACACCTGGCTGACTGTCAAACAATAGGTTACACCTGGCTGACTGTTAAACAATAGGTTGACTTACATACTTGTTAACATGATATTCACCTGTGGTTGGGGGAGCTAGGACAGTCTAACATCTGTAAACTTTTCTAATGCCAAGTGTGATGTATTCTTTCAACTAATTATAACATGTGTACTATCTTCGATTACACACTTGCAGCAAATATCTAAGAAAATTAACCTATAAAAAGATGTTACTAGCGAAAGAACATTATATATATCAAGATATAGGTAAATATTTACCAATTCTCATGTTTACAATTGGATTTGATGCAGAATACCATCCAAACACTTGTATGCCTACATCACTACTGCAGTAAACAATCATAATTACAATCGTACTGATCGTCATTTTGCTAATAACTATATGAAATGTAACTGCATACTGAAATGAAATACAAATAATATATTTATTTCTATACTTATTTACTTATATCTATATTTCAACTAGGGTAAAGAACAGGGTTAGTTACAAAATATCAATCTTCTTCGTAGAGCCACATCACTTAGGCATTTGACTAAGTTCACTTCCAGTTTTGAGGGCTGAAAAACATCAGAAAATATGTATTCTGTTTATGTCATGTTTCTGTTAATATCATGTTTTCTCGGACAAATGGGAAGTGATATTAAGAGAAATCTACTGTAGCATGGTATGAAAGTGACAGGGTATGGATAGTATCATGGTATGGAAGTGACAGGGTATGGATAGTAGCATGGTACGAAAGTGACAGGGTATGCCGGATAGTAGCATGGTATGAAAGTGACATCATTTGCATTGTATAACACGATATGAATGGCTAGTAACATGGTGCGAAAAAAGACATGGTGTTGATAGTAAGATATTATGAAAGTGACAGGGTATGGATAGTAACATGGTATGAAAGTAATATGGTATGGATAGTTAAATTGTATGAAAGTGTAATGTGTTGATAGTAACATGGTTTAGTATGTCCTTCTCTAACCCTGGGTATTGATGATAACTAAATGTAGATTCAACATGATAAAGGTAGGGTATGGTGTGTATTACTTTGGTAGGGTTCATATAGTGTTTTGATCATCAAGGTACTTGGGCGATATGGTGTATGATGGAGATATGTGGTAGTATATGGTAGGGTCACATGGTGCATTTATTTGTGGCAATATGGTAGTCAAATTGTTGGGTCACATAGTTCAATTTATTTGGGGCAAATTGGTAGTCATATGGTCGGGTCACATGGTCCATTTATTAGGGGGCAATATGGTAGTCATATGGTCGGGTCACATGGTCCATTTATTAGGGGGCAATATGGTAGTCATATGGTCGGGTCACATGGTCCATTTATTAGGGGGCAATATGGTAGTCATATGGTCGGGTCACATGGTCCATTTATTAGGGGGCAATATGGTAGTCATATGGTCGGGTCACATGGTCCATTTATTAGGGGGCAATATGGTAGTCATATGGTCGGGTCACATGGTCCATTTATTAGGGGGCAATATGGTAGTCATATGGTCGGGTCACATGGTCCATTTATTAGGGGGCAATATGGTAGTCATATGGTCGGGTCACATGGTCCATTTATTAGGGGGCAATATGGTAGTCAAATGTTTGGGTCAAATGGTGCATTTATTTGGGGGCAATATGGTAGTCAAATGGTTGGGTCACATGGTGCATTTATTCAGTTGTATTACGGTAGTGTGTTTAGGTTTCATAGTAAAATAAACTCAGTTGTAATATGGAAGTACATGTTGGGGACACATGCATGGAGCATTTTTCTAAATATTGTAGTAAATAGTGAGGCAACATGTTGTGTTTATTCAAATGTAAATATGGTAGTTCATGGTGCATTTATCAAGGTTTGTTTGGTAGTTTATGATGGGGAACATGGTGCATTTATTTAGGTGCTTTATGGTAGTTTATGATGGGGAACATGGTACATTTATTTAGGTGCTTTATGGTAGTTTATGATGGGGAACATGGTACATTTATTTAGGTGCTTTATGGTAGTTTATGATGGGGAACATGGTACATTTATTTAGGTGCTTTATGGTAGTTTATGATGGGGAACATGGTACATTTATTTAGGTGCTTTATGGTAGTTTATGATGGGGAACATGGTACATTTATTTAGGTGCTTTATGGTAATTCATGGTGAGGTAACATGGTATAAGAAACTTTGTAGGTGTGATATGGTATATGATAGGGCAACATGCATGGAAGGTGCAATGTTTGAGGTACATGGTCGGAAAATAGTAGGTATTGTAAAAGATGTGGATTAATTAGGTTGCCTTACAAGTGTCAGCTGAAGGGAATTTCCTTTAGCTCAGCGTGAGCATCACGCTGGAGAGCCAAGGGTCGTGGGTTCGAGTCCCAGCAACAGCATTATCTTTATCACTATTCCTTGTCCTATTACAGGTATTATGTTAGGATATGGTAGGGATTATTACGTTTTGTGATTCCCTAGGGTTCTGAGCACACATGTACATGACATAGGAAATGTATTAACTGATTAACAGCTGGAAGATCAGGGAAGGAGACAAATCAATTAGGCCTAGTGTGTATTTGGCATTTACATTGCAGCTACGGTATAATGATATCCTTATCGCTGGGGAATGGAAGTCAACAAATGAAAGTAATAAGGAGTATTGATTCCGCATAAACCCAACACATAGCTGTTGTTGACCTGGGTACCAACATCGGTCATATCAATTGAGAAATAATGTGTGCATGATCTGTCTTGGTCTATTGTTGACCACTAACATGTGGACAGTACGCATCCACTAGCTTACAACCCCCATAACCTACAGAATTAATACTACTTACAATGATGGTAATTTACATAAACACGGTCCAAACAAGTATCGTTAATACACATGTAAATGTTAATAGATGCAGCTCTATCTGGGTCAGGTATAGATAATGGAACATCTCAGTCATCTGTCAACTTATTTTACCTAAACAGTTCACTTGTTCACCACCTCCCATAATGATCTCGTTACTCCTATATTTAACCGTGAAAGACTTTTTCGCTTTTAGGAACAAGTTACATTCGATCTTGCGCGAACACATGCACGATTGACAGTTGGCGAGTTTAGCTTGACTGAACAACAGATCAGATTCAATAAAGAAGCAGACGAGAACGAACGAACCATCAAAACAAAATCAAGATACCATACCTTGCTCCATTTTTGCTGTCGCACTCACTGCCTGTGATTGAAGTCCTGTTATACCTGTGTAATGGCGACTGGGTAGTTGTATATATTTATAGAATCATTTACTTAACACATATAGGCCTACCGGGTTATACACTGTCACAGGACCACTGACGTCACGTGTTTACGTGTTGCCAACATCGGGTAGGCCTATATCCGCGGACTATTTCGCAATACACATATGTATACGAATGATTTGCTCGCTAGTGGGGCGTGACCGAGTCACTGCATGGGATACTCGCAAGCTGAAATGGCAACAGGTACCTACATATATGGTTGAGCGTAGACATTTACACTCTGGCTCACAAAGTAGAGGGAATTTGTTTTGATGTCCTCTATTTGGGGACACAAAAGCGACCAAGATAAATATGCTGCACCCATTGCAATATTTGGGATCTTTATCTTTCTTTCTACTTCTAACTACATTTGATTTCCTAGCGCCTTGCTTGGCAACACCTCACTTTTAGCCTTAATGTTGAGCGTTCGCCCAGGTGAGGAAGGCAATGGGTTCTGTCCCCAGGCCGGTACATACCAAAGTCCTTAAAATGATAGTTGGTATTCCCTGCTTAACGTTCAGCATTTAGGAGAAAGGCAACAACTGGTTCACCCGTTGTCAGTATAGTGTGACCGGGTGGAATGCTGTGCTGGGTGCCTTCGGCATTGCATTTCAGTGAAATAGCACTATAAAGTCGGCGTCAGATCCGCGCTATCACAAGGAGGCAATCACACCAACATTCCCTGCCCCCTGCATACACACACGCAAGCACGCATACATTACACACATGGAGGCACGTCCTTAAATGACCTTAGAGCTGTTAATAGGACGTTAAACATAATTAAACCAAACGAAACTTATAAATACTTATAGCAGAAAAAAATAAAATTTTATTTTTCCTTTGCTGTGTACTTGTAAAACACGAGTATTCACTGGACAGGTTAGATCGCCGGCGAACAGGTGGCTCAATCGGGTAGAGCGTCTGCCTTGAACAATGAGGTCCCTGGTTCGAATCCCGGCATGGCTGTACAACAATTACACGTTTCGTCTTATGACGTGGTGAAAACTATGGCTGGTGTACTAGTAGTTCTGTAACCACATGTGGCATCCGTCCAAAGCTGCGGCGACTGACTGACTGCATAATTAGTTTCATACCGGGATCCATGCCGTCATTATGTTGGATGTCATCGATCACATTGTTTTGTTTGACTCCAAACGCCGCTCTAGAGACTATAACGACCTATCGGGAAATGCAACTTTACAAAATTTAATTTGGATCCATCTGTGGGACCAAGGCGATCTCCCCAATTTGAAAAAATTACACAGTTCACTTTGTTTACACATTTAAATCTGAAGAATTCCAGGATAGTAACACCAATTGGACTGCATTCATGAACAGTACATTAGCATTGCTGGACAAACACATCCCACATAAACACACACGCTCAAGACCTACCAACCCCGGATGGATACCCATACTAGACGCCTAGCCAGACAGAAAAAAAAACAGCCTTTGGAAAAGCCAACATGACGGGTAAGGCCAGAGATATGACACCTACGTGTACAACATCATTAGCCCAGAGGCCAAGCAAAATCCATTTGTCAAAAGCAAAAACAGGAGTCCTCAGGAGTACCACCTCTTCGTAATGCCGATGGAGTTATCCTCAGTGATGCTGGTGCCAAGGCTGATATCCTCAACCAACAGTTTGTGTCTGTATTTACCAAAGAGGACACCACCACCACCATTCCAGACAAGGGTCCCACCCACCACCACCATTCCAGACAAGGGTCCCACACCCACCACCACCATTCCAGACAAGGGTCCCACCCAGCCCATACACCTCCATGGGATAAGTTAATAACAACTCGCACCGTAGGATAAAGGATATTGTGCTGGGGTCTTTTATATGGTATTTCAGTGAGGTTTACGCAATCTGAAGTCAGTATCAGATCTGCGCTATCGCAAGGATACACCAACGTACCGCCTCAATACACTTGTCATAACATTCTGCTGTATATCATATAAATATAGATGTTGAAAAGTCTTGTCGTACGCCGAGCGGGAATACTAGATGGGATCAACTGGTTTTCCTTTCTGGTTTTTGTTGGAGCTCACAATGGCTTTCCTTTTTGCTTTAGTATATATTCCATCAGTTCTTATTGATAATCACTACAAATGCGAAGAAAGGAAGATCAGTTTCAATATTACTTTGCAGATGCAGGAAGTCAAACAAAGTAAGTATTTACTGCATCGTTTGACAATTATGTGCATTTTAGGATTCATCAGTGGTTAATAGGTTAAAAAAAGTGCAAATCATGTCCAAAGTGTCCCAAAACATATGTAAAAGTAAAGCAAATGAAAAATGTGCCGAAATGTTGTGTTTGTACTTTATTCCTGTATATGGACGCTGTATTTTACTGATTAATTTTGGTATAACGTAGTTGTTATGGATACACAACACCAGAACGGTTGATTTTTAATAAATTTTAAAATTTATATAAAATATTCTGAAAAAAACCTTTCAACAAAACCCACAGCAATGTTTAATACAATGTACGTCTATATCATAGAATTGCACAGAAATTATGTTTTCGGGTTGTACACTTAGCCAATTTTACAACAAAACACACAAAAGTCTTATTTCCAACAAACTTCTCTGTTTTCATAATTTCTTACCGAAACATGATTGTAATAAGTACAGTTGAGTGCAAGTGTTTTAATTTGTTACGGAAATATGTGTTTAACAATATACAGTGTTTACAGAAAGAGGGGTCCTATATCACTTAAATACACGGATTAGAGGACAGGTTCACGGTGGTCATTTAAGAGTTACTTATGTGTTTACCTAGCCAATATGGATATAGTGCGTTAGTTATACATAAATATACATCATACAATCACATAGTCATACAGTCATCAAAGAGGTGTAGTCATTATCATAGGTCACATAGCGCACGTGATTATATATACCGGAAAATCTTCAGCCTACGTCGATAAACCTATATTGTTAAATTACGCAATTCGCATTTGATTACTATCTGTTTGACGTCTGTTCTTATGATAAATTCGTCCCCATTGCGGAGGGCTTAAAGGCGGAAATTTAACTGAGGTGAAAACTTCCCGGTATACCGTAGTCTGACATGATCGAAGTTATTTTGAAGACAGAACTGTTGTCTCTCATGATTATGATGCATATTTCTGAATATCTTTAAGTGTTTATTGACGAATAGGCAAACATACTATGTAGGGACTTAACATATTATTGAACGACGGTATTGACATGAAAGGAAATGGGTTATATTATATGAATTTAGTAGTTCGTAGTCTCCTTAGCCCGAGTTTCCTTTGGCCCACACCAGACATCTACATGTCAAAATGTCTAAGTCTGGTGTCAGGGCTAGAGGGAACTCGGACTAACACCAGCCATCTACATGTCAAAATGTCTAAGTCTGGTGTCAGGGCTAGAGGAAACTCTGGCTATGAATCTAGCTAAGTTCATACCAGTATGTATACATTTCGTGCTGTTCCTATGAAGGAGAAACCTCAGGAGGAACGTTCCCGACACCCCATTACCATCTTACCTCCAGTGGAGTACTGTCCACAATCTACGACACACTTGGACATCGGTACAGGAAGGCTTGAAGGGAGTAACGAGGGTCTGCTTTATCAAAATATCAATTACAAATTCGAAAAATGTCGCTCAGTCCGTCCTTACATTTGTGTTACAAAAATACTTCTCGTTCATTTGTTATTTGAAGCTGCTATAAAAACTTCACAATGAGAAATAGAAGTAAAACAACGTGGCAACAAAAACAAATCACGTGATAATATTTGCGTTTATGGAACTAGATATAGATGTCTTGCATCATAATCAATACATATTTAATGGTTCTACTCTATTTGATTGTTTATGCTTGTCGAGTGTTCCCGTGTACACTGTCTTGTCGAGTGTAACCGTGTACACTGTCTTGTCGAGTGTTCCCGTGTACACGGTCTTGTCGACATAACAACCACAATACAGAAACAAACAATGTTCAAAACTGGTCACGGATGATGTCGAAAGGAAAAGGTGGCACAACCAGAGGTAGACTGTTTATAGCTGCGTTAACACCATTCCCGATACTCCAGGCCCCATGATCATGAGACGATCTGATTTTAATTAGATTGACCGGCTATTGTAATAACGTAGTTAAGAACACACATACTTCATATCCTAACATTCACTAAACGTATAGTGAAACAACCGGTTATCTAATCACCTATCATGTAATCAATTATTGAAATGTCGGCAAACGATCTAGTATACAGTCGATCACCGCAAGTACAGGTGCACGTTAATTACGTATTCTTTTGTGAATGCAAACTCCTCATCAATAAAGGATACGCATGAGCAATGTGTTGCAGAAAAGAAGTCACGGTTGTGACAATCCTAGAGAGGATGCATGCGTGTAGTGTATGCGTGTGTGTTTTGGGAGGCTGCGATATGTTCGTGTTTGTCTCCTTGTGATAGCGCGGAAGTGATGCCGACTTTATAGTGCTACCTCACTGAAACAATACTGCCGAAGACACCCAGCAGGACACCCCACCCGTTCACATTATACTGACAACGGGTGAACGAGTCGTCCCACTCCTGAATTGCTGAGCAGGAGTAGAAACTACCATTTTTACAGACTCTGGTATGGAACGAAAGTCAAAATGTTTGCTTCTTTTTGGATAACCAGAAGGCTTTCAACAGCATTTGGATCCGCGGGTTGATGTTTAAGTTGTACCCTCTTGGCATCAATGGCAAATGTAATGCAACTGAAGAGGTGAGAATATCTTTCTTTATGTGACAGAGAAGTTAATATGTCGTTTGTGTGGAAAAGAATCGAACGATACAATTCTGTATTTCCTTATTATACGTCTTTATCTGTACAAAAGTAGAGACCTATTATTTGACCAAGTAGTAAATACTGTCGACATGAATGATTACATTGTGTTTTCAAACTTAGATGACAAGGGGCAGTGTAGTTTCCTTCTTGGTGATCGAAGCGTCATTTGTCTTAAGGATGATATCTGGGATTGTTTGATGATAAACACTTCAAGAACGCTGAAAACAATGTTCAATGAACTGGATGACTTTGAGCAATGACAACACAA